ACGTGTACAGACAGCTGATGTTGGATGGTTAAATACCTAGACTCTGTTGTACAATATGTTCCGCATTATATGAACGCTCTGTATAATGTATATGCAGTAAACAAGAAGGGTTTGGATAGTTTGCCGTTTTGCATTATATTTCTCTATTGTAGCTACTCATAAATAATTCATAAGCAAAACACAAGCAAAACCAAAGGCAAAGCCATTTCCTTGCGATAATAGACGTCTATCATTACATAGCCTATCGAAGGGAAGATGGCTGTGAAATTCATTAGAATAACAGTATAACTCATTAGTCTATGTTAGTCAACGGTTTATTCATAAATCTGGTCCCCAGTCGCCGTCACGTGCGTATTGTATTTTTGCCCAACTAACCAATAGCAATGGAACTCAGTTACCTATCCATGACTTGAACAATGGCTAGCGGTAAATTGGAAATTGCTATTGGTGGATTTGGCAAAAATACAATACCAACACTAACATAGATAATGATTAATGAGTTATATTGTTATTCTAATGAGTTTCACAATTCACAGCCATCTTCCCTTCGATAGGCTATGATAATAAGAACTAGAAGTTACTATCACAAGAAAAGTGCTGCCTCGCCCCAGGGGTCAAAGGCACGCGCAATTTGCTGAATAAGACGCCTGTGGAGGAAAAGTGCACTTATATATGCAACACTCAAAGTTGTTCCTGACTTAACAATTTCGAATACAAAGCAATCATGTTATAGATATTTTTAACGGAATAGAAATTGTAGGCAGAATATAGCGTGGTCATACTCAAAATTCTTGGCATCGAAATTTGAGTGCATGACATTGCGAAAATGCATGCATGAGATTTTTTCAGAACTGTGAATATATAAAATTAATGAATGGGTTCCAAACTAATCACGAAAACCGTTGTACTTTCTCTACCACATGGTACATCCTCATAACGTTGAACAAGTGAACAGAAATATTTGCACCAACGTTGGAAACATGATCCAACATCACAACATGCAACTATTTTAGTCGGATCGATAACTGAGACAAGGTCATAGTGATAACTGGGGGAACTTCTAATTAACCCGTCACAGCCGATGTGAATCTATATGAATTAAAATTCTTTTATGCATTACGTAACGATTGTCTACTTGATGTGAAATAGCCATTTCCAATCATGCGAATTGTCATGCCATCGGTGTGACCATGCATATTTCCCCAATTTTGCAAAATATTCTGCTAAATCTGGTCAGGAAGGGAAAATAGGAAGAACTTTATAGTGTGAGTGGTTGGATGGCAATATGGCATTATTATAGTATATTGCAAAGACTAGCATGCATACTATGAGCTGTCTGCATGTTTTAAATATTTAATGTTAGATTTATATTTACAGCGTTTTGAAGTATTTTATTTCATTTTGCAACTAATTTAGATACGCTTCTTCTTGTGCATATATGTCTCTATTTCGTATATATAGCTCATGTATAGGCCAAAGTTAGGGCATGTAGTAAAACACTGACTACCGGAACACCGGAACACCGCCGAAACACCGCCGGAACACCACCTAACCCTAACCCCAACCCTAACCCCCAATCCTAACCCTAACCCCAACCCTAACCCCCAATCCTAACCCTAACCCCAACCCTAACCCCCAATCCTAACCCTAACCCCAAACCCTAACCCCAAACAAAATGGTGGTGTTCCGGTGTTCCGGTGGTGTTCCGGTGTTCCGGTAGTCAGTGTTTTACTACATGCCCAAAGTTAGGCTAAGGGATCCGCTACCTGATAAATGATATAGTAGGGTAAGTAAAGTATATAAAAATACACGTATACTAAAATGATAAGGAAGAGTTAATCCCATTTTGCCCACTTTCTCCTTCGCTTTCTCCGTCGAAGATAGTGTGCAGGACGATAAGATCCGACTTCGTCAATGACCGGTTCCATTACTGCATACCGGCCCCCAAGCAAAATCGTTGTTGGATTTGTAATGACACTTGCTGAGCCGTAAATGCATGTCACACAATAGAATTGCACTTATAGAACCAGATGTAGACTATCACGCCCGTATTCTAAAAGCTCACTCACACTGACACTCAATCAGTGGAGGTTCAATCTGAGCTTCTCTTGAGTGTCAACTGATGCTGTTTTTGAATAGCTGGAGGGTGAGTAGTCACATAGTAAGGTACGACACTAGGGCCTCCAGCTATTCAAAAACAGCAATGACGCTCGAGAGAAGCTCAGATTGAACTTCCACTCATAGTTGAGTATGAGTGTGAGTGAGCTTTTAGAATACGGGCGTTAGACTTGACATTTTCCCGATGTTTTAGAGGTAAACTTTCCGTTTAGTGGTAAACAGAGTTTTGGCAAACTGCAAGTATGTTAGTGTTACCCTCATAATGGATCAAGATTGTTACCCTCTTAATTATTTACACGACTTATATATTCATATCTTATCGCGAACCTGGCAAACTGCACGACTTTAAAGAGTCTCCTACGAGTATTCAGTTTCGTGTTCAACCTTTATACGTACATTCAGTAATATTTTCCTGGGTGGTATCAGTAATCTCCGGACTTGGCGGACCGCCGTTGCTCATGGAATGTACATGTAGTGATAAAAATTTCATAACGTCATTACTACATTAGGTATCCACCGGGCACACGACGTTGTTGACGAAATTTGGTAGAAAAAAGGTTGCGACGTCGACAATCTAATATCTACGTTGCTCTGACGGTGAACATTGGTTCAACAGCAGCCAACAGACGTTGAATTAACGTTCATAATCATTCATGGTTAAATGTACGACGTCGATTTGTGAACCAATCTCAACGTTGTTTTAACGTGGATTCAACGTTGAATTATGGTTGACGAGATTGGCAACCTAATTCCAACGTTGTTTCAACGTCGAAACAGTAACGTCGATCCAATTTGCATAGTCAACCCTTTTTCAACGTCTATCCAACGTCTGGAAGGTCATTTCCAACGTTGATTCAACGTTGGATAAACGTCATTTTGCCCGCTGGGTATATGCTGCGGCTACAGCCGGTTGAAGGCAGCTTAAAAAACTCGTGCAAGTTCTCTCCTATATTTCGAGGTTTTTCTACTGGTCTTCCCCAGTTCCCCTCCACTTGAAACAACAAATGAACCATATAGTGAAGCAACTGTTAACCTGCAGTGCTCGCAGTCCGAAATCTCGCCCTGATTCTCGGCTGAGCAGGCTATACAACTGTATAGTCTGTAAACTAACTTAACTAACACTTGTACAAAGCATCAGTGGGAGCATCATTTAATCAGTTTAGAAATCATATATGGGGCCGTGTCATGCATTGACAATGTAATTAAATGTCTCCTTACGAGAGCAATTCGTTCACAAATAGCTGCAATATTCAAAGCTTGAAACTTGTGCTCTCATTATTAAGCTTTGCGCGCTTTGAGTTTAAGGTTTAGAGTTCAAGGTTTGCAAAGGACAACCTTTTTTGAATTGGCTGTATATGGTTATGGCTTTCGGTTCCGTCCACGGCGTCCACCTCAGTGTGGTTATGTGGTAAAAAACATTGAGCCTGCGTTGCTGTGTGGTTCATTGTCAACGTGTCTCTAATTTTGACTCAGTTAACTGGCTAACAAAGGTGACTCAAAATTTCGATTAAAATTGCTCAAATCGAATATTTACTTTATTTATTCAAAAAATGATAAACGTTTGCGTATAAATTTGAGTAATGCATTATTTTACTTAAGTTTTTGTGTGTGGCGAAAATTCTGGCAGTGTAAATTTAATTAAGCTAAGCTAAACTAAACTAAGCTCGGTTTTAAGCTCATACCTGACATTTCTGTGCAATACAGCGTGACCAGATATTAACGTGATGACATGTTCTCTTGACGCATTTGAAGAACTGTACGTCACACTTTGGAGTATTAACTTGAGGATGATTTGAAGATCAGTTAACGGCACAATTTATGAATTTTAAGTTGCATACCTTTAGTTTAGTGATAAATCTTGAATGTGGGCTTCTATTGTAGGTATATAGCGAGAGCGACTTACTTGGGGATCACATGATCAAATTACTATCTGAAAAATATGACAAGAACTTTGCGATCGACGTTTCAAGCCGAAGGTCCAGGCTTCGTCTGGAAGTTCTAGTACCTTCGCTCAAAAATTGAAATTTCTTATTCATCTTCTTTTTTTAGTTAGCTTAATGACTTAATCCAGTAATTCCTTACGCACATAGCTTTACTAGCTCACCCGCCTAACCTTTTTCTCACATGATATCGTGAGCATGTGTTGGGTTTCAGTGTCGGTAGGGAGAATCCCCCTGACCAAGCCTAAAATGATAAAGCCTAAAACTTCTTGCTTGGTCCTTGAAATGGACCAAGCAAGGGGTGCATGTCGAATGGACATGCAAACGAGCGCCGAAAGTGTGTGAGCATCTAGGGAGTTCAGGGGCATGCTCCCTGGAAAATGTTTAATTGTAATATATAAAGTTTCTCGTTGAAGTTCCACTATCATGTGCGGTGGATACTTGTTGTTCCGGCCTTCGTATACGACCGACCCCAGTTGTAGATACTGAGTTTTCAATTATGTTTTTCATTCGGGAAATTTCAATCCAGTACGAGAAAATTTATATCTTTCTTGCGTGTCAGTGTCGAGCTAGCCGTCGAAAATTTAGTATTATTTAGCATACTTAGTTTCCTGAGCTGAATTTCTTCACCGATTACTTTTTATAAGTGTTCCAGCTGTTTTTGAAAGCAGTGGTAATAGCATGCAGGAGGCTGTACTGTACTGTATTGTACTGTGGCCACACCCTCACTGTCGATGATTGAACTAAGGCATAAGCCTAGTTAGGCTTTAGTTCAATCATTGACATTGAAAAAACCCTCAACATGGTTTCAACATGGTCATGGAAAATAAAAAAAGGTCACAGGTTGCATTAGAAGGTCACATCTGGAACGATCTGACGAAGTTTAGTTCGTTGCCAAATAAAATAACAAAGCAAAATGCGTACAAATAAAAAAAAGTGTACTGTGAATTTTATAATTGATACAAATTTTATACACAGGTATTATTATACGTTTTTACAGCAAAAATTTACAAGCAATTTGTTTGCTTATGTCAACAAACATAAGAAACTCTGCACCTCAGCATTAAGTTGTGCAAGCTACTGGGATACATGCAATGATATCAATGAAACCAGGCCCGATGAAACCCACTGATCTTCTATAGTACAGATCAGTGATGAAACCTTGTAATCGAAGCGCTATAAACATTAAACTTCTGATATTGTATTTCAAAGTTACCAAGTTGCGCAGTATTAACTGGAGTGATTTTTAAAGCTTTTGGAATTTAGCATTTTTAAAATTATGAAGAGTAAACGAAGAAAGCGTACGGCATGATATGTTGCGCAAAATTTATCTTCAATCAGGTTTAATGCAAATTATGCAATACTAGCAATGTTATTATAAAGAAATGTACTTATGGCGCGGTCTGTTTTTCATTTAACGTAATTAATTTCCCAGTAAATATATACAAACAGAAAGTACTGATTAATGTTAGTGAATATACGTATATTATATATCACACGTGTCCAAAGTCTCATTAAATTGATTAAATCGCAAATTTTGTGAACATGAATATATAATCATCAGTTGTCACTAAAGATATGTGACTAATGAAACGCCAAAATTAGATTTGCTAAAACCCAAATTTAAGACGGTGCACAGGCTGTTAAAGGCCCAGGTTGATTTTTGCCGAATGAGCACACAAATGTGTTCATTTCAAATTTTTCTGTGCAGCCTGTATGAGAGTCAGTCATAGAAATTGAACGTCTGGACTTCCATCTTCCGTAAGTCACAGTCAAAGCTTTACGAAATCGTTTGTCTCTCCAAGAATAGACTAGTGGATTGCAGGCTGACGAGCACAGAGCTAGCGTGTTCGCCCATTGCAATATTTGCAGCAACACATCGCGGTCATGAATCCCAGCTCTGTATATGAATGGCAATATCAGAAGCGGAAACCATCCAATGAGAAAGATACTGGAGATAATTCCCAGTGTCTTTAGGCTGTTCCTGTCTGCTTGTTGTACAGTTGAACCGCGCGAACGCTGAACACTAAGTGTGTGCATGTTATCCTGCACATGAGAGAGGGAAGCCGTGTGAATCACGCGTGCATGCCTTCTGGCGATGCATAAAATCCGACAATATAGTGGTATGATCATCCCAGCCAGTAGAACCACCACGAGTATTTGTCCTATGACTTTAGCCTCTCTGTAAGACTCTGTTATTATCCCTAGCACTGAGGCAATTATCCATATCACAGCTACAAGCACACAGGCAGATTTTGTCGTGACTCGCGCAGCATACCGCAATGGATTGGAGATGATACAATAACGATCCAACGTAACGCCGACAAGGTTTCCAATTGAGGCTAACAGTGAGACCCATGTTAGCCGTTTACGGATATCTTCCAACAATGTAGTAGTATGTTCCTGAGGGAGGTTCTGCAGCAGTTTGTAAATAAACATTGGCTGAGCTACCATACACACAAGCAGGTCAGAACACGCTAAACTGAAGATGAAGATATTCATATTGTTGCGTAGATGTCGGTACAGCAGGAATGCGAAGCATACGCAGAGGTTGCCTATTGTACCACCGACGCTGAATAAGACATTCACTGATACCATTACTCCAATTTCGACATTGGAAAGCACAAGCGTCGTGTTGTATGGTGTAGACATTGCTGATGGAATGCGGATAGTAAACAAAAGTATGAGTACTACACAGTATGCTAAATCTGTCTACAATGCTTTCTGACAAATGCCAGTGCAAGTGGCATATTATGAACTGACTACGACAACAACTTGTTCTTCCTTAAGTACGAAAACAATGCAATAATAATTTTAGTACACGCGTCCGGCTATCATCGATCAGTAAATGTCTCCTGCTGCGCACAAGACCAGGTGTCAAAATAGGTCAGCGCAAAAGCGCAATACAAATAATGAAAATTTTATATTCAGCCTCTTTGTAACAGATGTAACGTGCTTTGATGTTGAAACGTATGAATTATTCAAGATATATTTGAGGTTATTTTGATGTATTCATTGTATCAGGTTTAGGAAAGCAAACTGACACCCACGGTGTGTCTAGATCTTGATGCAACATGCGTCATTGCATAGCGAATGCAACTAAATATTCCTTAATTACGAATGCATCGAATTGGCCATTGACAAATTTATTCATCAAAAGTACACAACGTAAACGACCGTGTCGAACTGGAGTGCAAAGTCTAGTCGAAGCCCAACACCGCTCACAATTTTGATGAAGTACCACTATTATTACTCTCGAGCTATTCAGAAGAAACCAGACGCATCTACTGAGTCGACTGAGTCGAACGCGCGAGAAATCTCTTTAGGTGGGGGTCTGGGTAACATGCTCCGCCAGAAAAGTTTTGATTTTCTAACTGTTAGATACGCTATTTCGATTCCTGCATGCTGAAAATTAATCTCATAAACAGTGACGCAATGTCTATACCATACCGACAATTTAAAAAAGTAAAGTAAATAACAAATTCCGAAAAGACAAGACATCTTGGGAATACAATAGGCAATAGCTATATGATTCAAAACAAGACACAGGTTGCGACTGTAATCATATTGTATTCTCATTAAAATTAAATTTATTCACATTCAAATTCCGAAAAGACAAGGATCTTAAGAATACAATATACGATTCAAAACAAGACGCAGTTTGAGACTGTAATCATATATTGTATTCTCAAGATGTCTTTTCGGAATTTCTTTTTTATTTTACTTTTAGTATACACTATATCTCGCAATTACACTCCAATCCTAAAAATTACAAGTTGGTCCATCATGATCCGTTCATAATAAAAATGTGTTTGGTGTTATTTAGGAGTTCCGACGTTAACCCACAATTTCTGTTATTGGGAATGGATACTTGGGGGTAACCCAAAGTAGAGGCTGTAGAGCCCTGCATCAGAATTGAATAAATTCCAGTCAATAACTATTTTCTTTCTTTGAACTTCAAGTCTTCCTGTTTTAAATTAAATTTGTTACGAAAATTCTTACCGAGTCACTGACTCGGTTGCATTGACTCGTAGTTAATGGCCTGTATAGAGGTTCAGCTTGGTCAACTTTGGTTGAATATCTTGAATGTTCCACTGTGGGAAGCGTTGAATAATATTCACGAGCTTTGTTGAAGGATTCAACTACTTGCTATATCCGCCAATTTCAAACTTGCTAAAATTAGCCGTTGATTGGTAGTAACTACCCCCATCAAGCTAAGTATTTTTAAATTAATGTCCCTTGTTCGTAATTGTGAGGTGGTCCGTATCCATGGTTTCACAGTCTTTCAGGCATTTTTAGAAAGGTTAAAATTGAAAACATCAACTTTCTGTGCATGAAAAGCGCTATCCGGCCTTCGTAAAATTGACGGGCCCTGAAAAATATAGAAAGTCTTGAGCGAGAGTCCGGACTTTCGCAGCACGTAACGGGAAAACACGCGTGCTTTTGAAATCTTTGATTCAACTGTAATATAACTAATTTAATGGCCGGACATTTCTTAGATGAACATGTCTTGTACTATTCCAGTAATGATTTGGTGCGCGGGTCGTATGGAATCCAAAGTTTGCAATAGGATTAAGAGATCAAAAACACCGCGGATTAATCAATGGGATTTAGATTAAATATTTGAATTTACTTCATTTTTGCACCAAAAGGCTATCTATTCGTCAAATTTTTGACAGTCCGAAGAGAAATTATGGGGGTAATTGTGCAGTGAGAAAATAAATTTGCCGTATATTGCGTGTGTGTAGGAGGGGGGCAATAATATCCTGATGCTTGATTCTTAACTGGAAGAGACGAGAGACAGTTACGATAACGTCTGCTTCCTATGGCACTGGCAGTAGAGCGTAAGAAACCATGAAACAAACTGAAGTTCATCCTTCTACTGAACAGCCGTTCGTTAAAGTCATCCAGATGCCATGCGTGGCCTTATGCACGTGTCTCAATACTTTTATAATAAAACAACACGGCCTTTTCAGTTAAGAATTCTTCAGTGGAGGAGCTATCATTTCTCAATGAAAAGATACCCCACTATGTGAGATGCTGAAATGGAAAAGTGTAAACTTGCACGAGATCAGGGGATCCATCCCTCCAGTATATGTTATTTTTAACATGCAGAATCATGTTTAAAATTATTTTCATATTATCAACTTCAATCATCAGTATCCCACTGGATGCCATCTGGATTTTTGATTGAATCCTAGAAAGAACTCTAGCCTGCATTTTAAAACTCTCCGGTCCAAACAGACTGAATCAACATGATAAAATATCAGATATTTACTAATTTGCCATAACTTTTAAAGTCTAACCTTGAACTGGCCTTTATTAACTGTGAACTGGCCCAATCCGACTAACATGTCACATACTATGAGACTTTAGATGCCTTCAGAGACTATTGTCATCTTTGTACATACTTTTCAATATACCTTGCGTATCAGATATCACTCTCACAAGTATGCAACCAGACTAAAGTATTACAATTTGTTGAATAGCTTATTATAATAGCAAGTATGTGAAATCTTTGTAATAGATTGAAGTCTTCAAAGTCTTCAAAGGGGTAAAATTTCACTGTTCCTTTATATTGTGATACCTTCTCATAGGTTGTACTGTACTCGCATCAAATATCACGTCCATAATATCACAGGCATGCAATTATTCCAAATGCGCAACCAGGAAAATGCAATTTCAGAAATATCTAAGCAGTAAATGAAATCTTTAAATATAACTTAGTCCCAGCCATTTTACTTGAAAGAAATATTGTTAAAAATATAACAGCGTGACAGGTCTTGCCCAATCTGGAACCTACAGTAAGAACAATGCCAATATTACATGGGTAAAAAAATTTTATAACAAGCCTTTTTACACTTCTGAAGATTTAACCGACTAATACAATGCTGGCATACTCAGTGTCGAGAATAAACGAGCTGTTAATTGAAAGATTCTCAAGATGTTGATGGAAGGATAAATTACTACCTCGAAATACAAGTCTTCGACGTTTCGATCAAATAGGTCCTTCTAATTCCGAAACGTAACACACGTTAAGATGTTTCCTGCATTTTCTAGAACCCTACGTGTGGGCTATTGGACTTATTGAGCTTCTTAAGCCAATGCAAAAGTTATTTGTCTTTGTTCATAAATAACAAAACGAAGGAATTTCCAAGTAAGGAATTTACAGAAGAATAAGGAATTTTCTGAAGATAAATTTAGAGATAGACTTGTCACACAATCTATCTTCGCCTTCGCTATCTTTTCTCAACAGAATTCCCGGAATCTCCGTTTTCAGGACTGTTCCGTGATTCTCTCCATGCCGCCTTGTTTTAAAACAAGGCGCATATCTGCGAAAAAACAAGATCCTGATTGACAGCATTTTTTTATTATAAGCTTCAGATAAGGAGATTTAAACTAAAGGGCATGTTTTTGAGAATGAGTGATATAGCAGAAAGCAAACAAACTGAATATTTTCCTGATCAGCCTAGATTACTGCATATGTGTGTGTGTGTGTGTGTGTGTGTGCATGAACGATATGATAGCAATCATTTACAGCTTCGTTTCTATAGAAAATCCCATATCAAAATGTTGAATCATTGCTGCATACGTCCCTGCATGCAAAACAACTTAAAATTAGCCAACTTTCAAATATTATCAGATAAGGTTAGTTCGCAGTTTTTGCATAATCCTCTGACAACAAACCTATGTAATCATATAGAACACAGATATAAACATATACAAATATGTGAATTTAAAGTTAAAAATATGTCTATTTACAGTGCGTCTACTGTAAGTGGGGCCACTTAGAGAACACTAACCAATCGCATTGCAGAACAGAAAGAAAAATCTAATCAAACTAAAGCTCGTCCAATCAAAAGAAAGATTCAGGAAGCCATTAACTGCAATGTTTACTTTTACAT